GTAACTAAAGGTGAATCACTCTCGATCCAGGATCATTTGCTTAGCAATACCATTGGAATATCAGAAGTTTGCAGCTGCAAAGCCTGTTGGATATCTTTACTCTGGAATGTAAACTTTTTTTTTTGAAAATCGTATCATGAGTAAACAGTCGGACTGTAAATGATTGTTTTATTTTATGGTCTCAACAAGAGTAAAATCTGAACTTCAGTCTCACGAAAAGACTGCTTCGTGACCTAACCATGACCACATTCTGCCCATAAGCTTACTACTGCCTGTCAGGAAATGTAAAGGCGCAGCAGTTGATTATTTACATGATGAAATGTGAATGTATCGTGAAACACCCGTGATGCCAAATTTGAAAAAATTGACTCACTTCAGCTCCAGCTCCGACTCCGTAATTTTTAAAATATCGACTCTGATTCCAAAATTTACTCTGCTCCACTCTGGTTCGGGAAAAAATTATCGTGCAGGTCTTAGCTCCGGCTCCTGAATGCTGCTGTGATATTTTTTGTGAAGGAGCCAAACAAAATTTTTTCATTACTCCCATGGTATCTGCCAAATCCGTCGAATGAATGCTGATCTGTAATACAGCTGCTGAATGGTATCCAAAATCGTCACTGCACTGTAAATGTTACAAAAATAAAATTACAGTTTCATTGCTCCAGTTTAACTGTTGTATTTGTGGAAATGTTCAGCAATCTCAAATTTTATGTGATAATCAATTTGATTAGAAGCATCGGAGCGTTGTTGTACAATCACTTCAAGCATGAAAGCTGTCAATACTCATTCGAATTCAAATCGAAAATTTTCATATAAAAAATAAATTTTCTCGGAAACTGCCACTTACGTTAGCGCACATAAAATGACACACGTATTTGTTGAGAACCTCTGAATGTTAGTTGAGATGCGGCAAATTGAGAAAATAATTGAATTTTTCGATTAATTGAAAAGGATAAATAAAAAGTAGATGGAGGTCTCAAATTTCTGGAAAATTAATGAAACGAGCACAAAACAAATTGAAAATACTGACTTGAAATGACGAGTTTTGTGAATGACAGGAGTTGGCTCGTCGTGACATTTTCAGTTAATTTGAATATCATTTATGACAAATACATAACTCTCATGTTTCGTTTTAAATCACACTCTGATAAGTAACCGACGATCACAGCAAAAATGATATATGCGAAATGTTTTGTGAAGTATTTCAAAGGGCACAACATTACTTGCTTTCAAACAAATCAGAGACTATCTAGAATTAATGCAGGCAGCTGAGCTCAAATTTCTGAATTGTTGGGTCCTAGAACAAAATCATTAATGACCATCGACTGAATGTTCTGTCGAGGCAGCGGGAACATGATCGTAGAATCAGAGTCGACAGTAAAGGTTATGTGTACTGTCATACGGTGGTTACTGGCTGATGGGTGCTAATTAGATATCATGAATATTGAAAGCTTTGGGGTGAGAAAATTCGAAAACAGAATCTAAAACGAAACGAATTATCCAAAGTTGCCAGTGACAGATTGCATGCCATATGCCATATTTATGAAATATTCACAGGAACAATAATCGAGTCAGCCTTATTCCATTTTCCAGCAAAATTTGATATCTTCATTCGATGATCTTGAAGACCTTTGACGAGCTGAAATAATTCAACAATGTTGTTGTTTCTACTCGTTCTTCAACTCTGCATTATTCCAATTGCTGTTGCAGTTGATGAGATGAGCACACTCGATTGAGTGCATTTTCGTCTTATTCACAATCAATTTCAAATGCGAAAATTCCTTCCCTATTAATGCTCATCATAACCGATGAAGCGCCGAATCGTGATGACCATTCCGAATTTGAAAACAGCGCTATAAAAATGCTGAAAGCGATAAAACTGCTGAAAATTTGACCGTTGGAAAAATAAAATTACATTCATTGAACGTTTTATTGCAATTTTGAGTTTTTTTTTCAGATCTGATAAGAGAAATATTATTACTGTATTATATGTGATAACAACTCCCCGATTGTTGCGGTATTCCATTTTTCAGCAAAATTTGCTACATAGAAAATTTTTCCAATCAAACTTCAGAATATTATTCACAAACTCAGAAATCCAATAAAATTCGCCCATACTTTGCATCTATCTGCATAACTGTAGCTATTGCAGAGAAATGAATTTTGAAGATTTGAACTGGAGGTTTTATATTTATACAGGTTCGGTAGGAAAAATTCAATTGGGACAGACAGAGCAAACAGGAGGATGAAGTCTTGCATGCAGCTGAACGAGTCGTTTGAATGATTGTTCTGAAATGAACAATTTTTTGGGTCGATGTAAACTTGTGAATTATGTGGATTTCACAACTGAGGAAAGAGAAGTTCTATTTTGTGGGGAATTTGACGGGGAAAGGACCTTAGATAGAGATTGGCCCTGAAAGATTCACGGACTGATTGAGAGTGGAAGCGATGACTTCCACTGCTTAAGCCATCCATCACGTAATTACCTCTGTGCCTTATTTTGCGATGTTTCTTTTCTGCACTTTCGGCAGATTGTTCTATTCTATTCTGTCCCGTTCTTCACTTGTACTGTTCTGTTCTGCACGACTTCTTTTTTTAAAACCGTTTTGTTCTATTCTGTACGTCTTTTTCGAAACTGTCCTGTTCTATTCTTGAGAACAGAACAAGAATATAAAAGTTTGGGAACGTCACTGATCATGTTGCGTTCAATCGCATTGGTAATCATTACAGCGATGATAATTGCACTGCAGACGTCATAATAAAAACGGAATGAACGATAAATATGTTGATTAATGAATGAGAACGAATTAATTTGTTTCTGTGCACATTCAATCAGCTATCTATCAAGCATGCAAAGTGTGCTGTTGTTGTCATGACTCACCATGCAGCAAAATCGCTATGAATGTAATACAACAGATTATAATAAATGTTAATAGAACAGATACATCAACAATGTAAGCTGTGCGCCACTAACTAAACCCATCCATCTTTCGTTTGTAGCGACTAAGCGTATACCCAAAGAATACGAACACATAAATAAGCGTAGATAGAACGAAATAATGTCTTCTGATACAAGCACAACAATACTACAAGATATTATTCTTTGGATGAGACTGATTTCACTCAATATGTAAATGTTTATAATATATCTTCAATGCACTCTCTCGTTTACTCTACATTCTTCGCATTTCTTTTCACATTTCTAATTTTTAACCTTTTGACGGTATATGTATTTGAAAATTTACCAACTTCATCATTTATTTCACAGTTTTTGTTTATTTAATCATATTTGTTTAGCTTTCTATTTCCCCTTCAAATAACTCACGATGGCTTTCTTGTCGGTGCTAGTCATTACATCGGTACCTCACCACTGCTAGTCAGTAAAATGGAATTGAGCACTACTGAACATCAAACTGTCCATTTATCTTCAGTTATTATTTACAGATCTCTCATCGATGTTAAATGAATACATCGCTATTTTTTGTATTAACCCATCGCCCTCTGCTTAGACAAGAAAAGAACCAATGCAGTTTGTTTTCTAATGCTTCAGTACGACAATTATACCGTTTCAATTAAATTGTATATGTATATCCATTCGTATTTCTTCGCAGTATTTACGCTTTTTTTTATTTATCTGTTCGGTCATTCAGAAACTAAATACTGGAATGTAATATTTCCAATAATTTAAAGTGAAAGTAATAATATTAGTTGAGTTTATTCATATATTAGTAATACATTTTTTAGATGACATTGGTACACCATCTGGTTTCAAGCACAACTTTCCCCACGAACGGGAATTGAGCCCACGATGCACTAGTTACTGGTTGCGGATCCGATTCCTGTTTGTGGAGGAAATTTTCGCTCGAAACCGAATGGTGTGCCAATGTCATCGATGTTGCTGGGCTCGAACCAGGCCGTGATTTGGCTTGAATGTAATTATCTGTTTATTGTAAAGAGCTTTAATGTGAATATAGCAGTTATTACGCAATGATATACTGCTGAAATACTCTCACGAACAAACACCTACACTAAAACGTGTTCTTATCGCAGTTGTTTTTGTTGTTAACGAACGAACAGTCTTCATTGTTTCAATCACTTTTATTCCATTAATCAATACATTCCGTTGTGAGTTCATCCATTTTGACGTTTATACGGCATTTATTTAGAAATGTGAACTCTTAATTCGTGATCGCAGTCATATTCATCATTAATGAGAATGAAAATTTATGAATGAATCTATTCAAAAATATTGAAATGGTCGGATGGAAATGAATAAAAATAAAGAAATTAACGATGACGATGATACATTTTTCGATTATTCTTCTTCGATAACACAAACGAATTTCGTGCAAAAGATCACGTTTCACCGTAAAAACGGAATTCGATGAATCAAAGTTTCGAAATATTGTTACTTTTGTTATTGTAAAGGATCTAGCAGCTGAACACATCGATGGTATTTGAGTGATTTTGAATTTAATGAGGTTACGATTTACATTGCACATTTTAAACTTATTTGCATTCCATTTTTCATCAGTTTTCACTGCAATGAATCTTCCTTCAACAACTTCTCAGTTTTGAATATTATTCGTTATTTTACCAATCCAGTCAAAAAGTTTTGAGAGTTTGAAGCTTGAACTCAGAAATTCAGAGCTAAGCTATGGTATGTGACTGAGCAGAGCTCTTAACTAGTCACTAGTGAATCTCACTAGTTTCAATCGTCTCCAGTATCAAAAAATTCATGACCACTCGGTACTCAATCTCGCACATTTTTGATAACATCGTCTCTCAACTGGTCTATTCAAATTGGTTTTTAAAAACCTTACACTACAGAAAATTCAGGAGGCGACTCACATTAAATTCAGCGATATCCACTAGCCATATGCCAAGGTAACATTTGGATATATTATTAGAATGCTCCAAACTTCACCAACGTGCGAATCGCAAAACTTTTTGACTGATCTGGCATGAAATAATGGATGTTCAGTAATATTTTCGTGAATCAAGCAAAGTATTTACGCTTACGATTAGTTCAACTGTGAAATGGTGTTTTTGGGAATTCAGGCGATTCAGTGGGATAGCTGGCGACAATTAGAACGGGATATCGCGATACCTTTTATNTGGGCTTAGGACGAAGTTGAGGCTCATACCGAGCCTGCATCATTTATTTAAAAAAAAAACAAATGGTACTGTCATGCCGGGGTAACGTATCAATTAGAGTTGGGTGGGTAGGCATCGGAATTCAATGATTACCGGCCGAAACCGAAAGAGCTTGATCGGTCTGTGGTTACCGGCCCAAAGCCAACTTTCTGTGGTCATTGATCAAAAGCTTCGGCAACCATCGAAAATCTAATGCCACCAACCGAAACCAGAAACGGCCGTTCAACTGGTGGCAAACGAAGAATGAATTTCGGTGCCACCGACCGGAAAGTAGCATTTGCATAACATGAATATTTTTAATATTACAGTCGCATAACGATAATTTCATGCAGTCTTCAGCCTTGAGCAAAACATCATTCGTTACGCGCACTCGAGTGCAATTTCCTTGCATCGGCTCCACTGCAGGCAGCTAAGCTATCGCGGACTGGCTCCAACACACTCTACGATAACAAATGACAGTCATTTGCAGTAATAATAATAATAGTAACGAGTATCAAATGAGTGAACTTGCGGTGAACGCTATTATTACGAAACGATGTCGAATGTATAATAATACATCCAGCTGCGCACTCTAGTCAGTCTCCGTCGTCACTCAATTACGCAATACATTCTCGTGCTATTACTCATCAATGCATCCTTTCTTATATTATTCACATATTCGTTCGTTCGTCTTTCCTCAAATTCGAATGAATCGCCGAAAATATTGATCTGAGTTATAGCATACACTCAAGCGTTCACGCGTTCTCTCTAGCTCTCATTGAGTTCGCTTATCTCGAGTCGCATTTCCTAGACATCTCTTCTTCTCTGTAACCACTCGTTTTAGTACACAAACCAACAGAAAGAACATATTATTCACTGTGGTGTTCGTTGTTCATCTTTTATTCTCAAACAATACTCCGATTTTGTTTCATTCTAAATTTTGTGCTATTTCACTTGACAAATTTAATCTGTCTTAAGACCAGCACTGATAAACTGCATAAATTGATAGTCATAATTCATTTTCATGTCCTACTTTGTTTTGGTAATTTTATAAGTTTGCATCTATTACCAAGAAATGTGTTTTTGCAATAATCATCTTATGACTCACACTGACAGTCGATCAGAGAGGATGACTTAGGTAGACACATGCAAGCAAGTACGGTTTTGGTTTGCAAGGAGTTTGGTTTATTGATAGGTATAAATTATTGCTCGATAATTACGCGATTGTTTTTAAATGGACTCGTTTCAGGTTATTTTCAATGAATAAAGTTATGCGATATTTTAATGGTAGTCAATTATTTTCACTTTTGGATATATTATATCAAAATGCTGTTGGATTTGTTTTCAGAAGACTGTACACATTTGATGGGCAGAACTGTACGAGTTGTCAAACATGAGCGTTGTTTCATCGATGCCGAATTGGACAGATCTTTGGGTAGGTGATTTTGTGTAGTTTTGCTTTTCCGATTTTAATTTCACGTGAAAGACGGCAAATGAAAACAGTTGGTTTATTTTTAGTGCTTAACGTTTTCAGCGATATTTTTACGTTCAAATCCATTAATCAGTTATCTCTCGATTGAATTTTCATTGTTTCAAAAATTTCATTCCAGGATCAAATTGACGGGGTTGCGGCGCACACACAAAAAGGAATTGAGCAGCTCGAAAGATTTGGCACATTTCTTAAGGAACGTGCCACCATTGAAGATGAGTATGCATCGAAATTAAGGTTTCCGTTCATATCATAATCCTATCCATTCGAAGTCCATTTTGTAATATATTGATTATAATTCTGTAACGTCGTTCTATTGGCTTGCCATTTTTGCAGAGCATTAGCGAAAAGAAGTGTCAACAAAAAGAAAGAGGACGATGATTTAGCAAAGTCGTTCACGTACATTACTTCTTTTTATGCGATTCTCAGGGAACTTGAAAGTCTCGCTGGACAGCACGAAGTTAGTGAGCTTTGTTCCGTATCAAAATTAATTTTTTGTATGAATTAGGTAAATGACTTGCCGTTCGGGAACGAATTGAAGCTTGCGGAGTAGTGTCCCCCCATCTGATCATGCCTGCAATCAGTCCCCTTGAACTTTAATTTTAATGATTTCGTTGTCGATAGGAACACATCAGATGCTTTCAAGACAGAAATCCGACAAATTACGAAATATTTTAACCCAGTTTTCTCGTCCTTCCACACTCCGTTCATTAATGGATGCCACCCAGGATGGGTCACCGTTACCGCTTCACCCCTCTCCTCTTCTTTGTTTGGTTCACCGGTAATATTTCAAATCACAGTTTAAATTCTTTAAGGTAGTTGCTGATGGTCTACGTAAAGATATTTATCCAACTGTAATGAATAAGTGCACCGAATTGCGTGCAACAAGAAAGAATCAGTTGAACGAATTGCACACTGTTCAAGGCACATTGAATGCGGCCGTAGATAATATGCTTAAGTACCAGAAAGCTTACATGTTAGTCTTTTATTCTCTCAACTGTGTTCGTGCTTTACAGATGATGCAGTAAATAGCTGATCGCATGAAACGAAAATGCAGTTTGATTGACGAATATATTTTCATGATATGCTGTTACAGGAAATCATTTAAAGATGCAGAAGCGGCACATATAAAATACGACAAAGCCGAGAAGAATATGGATTTGTCGAGAGCTGATCTGGAGAAAGCGAAGAATAATGCTTTGCAGAGGTCACAGTTGTGTGAAGACGCGAAACAGAATTATGCGCATGCACTGCAAACTGCTAATCAACAACAACACCAGCATTATAATCAGCTATTACCACACATTCTTGAAGTTTGTTTTATTTGTTTATTGTTATCATATTATTCGTTTTAAATTCATATTTCACGTATCACCACAACACTTGTGTAATCCAACCATCCATTTCTGTGTATTGATCGTTTATTCTTAAGTCAATTTAATAGTGCTCAAGAATTGAATTACGTGAAATATTATCTTGATCTCTAATATCATATTCTTCCTTTCTCCGTCTCCATCAAATTCCAGTGTGAATTATTGATTTGGCAGTAGTAGAAATGTACGACTGTTCTCCCATATGGACCAACGGTATCTGGCGAGAGGGCTCGAAATGAATCCGCTATAGAGAGAGGCCCAAATGCATGATGAGTTGTAATTGCTGATTAGATGAATGGCATTATGTTGATGCATGTGATGTTGTTAGAAGAAGAGGTAACTTGAACGAATTGAAGAAGTTGCGTGCAATGGATGAAGAGAGGATAAGTGAAACGCGTTCGATAATGTTGCAAAGTATTGAAGTAGAAACGAAAGTAATGTCTATTATGCAGCGATGTTATGAAGATATGTCAAATGCTGCTAGACTAATCTCGCCTTCTTCTGACTCGGCTAACGTCGTTGAATTCTTCAGGTAATTCATTCATTCACTCATTATGAATAATTAACATTAATTATATTCGACGATATAAGCAACAACGATCAGAGAATATCTTTTATAGGTCAGGATATGCACATCCACAGCCGTATCCATTCGAGGATTTAGGTGCACCTTCGTCAGTGGTCAACAATCAGGATGCTGCAACAAGTAGCAATGAAACAATAAAACGTATTAATCGAAACGGTACAACAATTAAAGTCAACCGTAAACCAAGTATGGGATTATTTAAGTCCACTTCACATCAGCGAAAGGTTTGAATCATCTCATTCTTTGTTAGTTTATCCTTTCTTAACAGATTCGAATGATTGTTCATTATAATCTTTCAAAAAAGTGCCATTGAATAACGATGCTAGTGGTTAAGGATGGTACTGATTTTCGTTCGTATCCACCTCAGCAAAGATGTCGGCGATTGCAAAACGAAATTGAAATCATTGAGAAAGAAATCGCGAAGAATGAACAAAGTTGTGAGGGTGCATCCAAGCTTTATAATGTTTATAAGTAAGTCGCATTCCATTTTCTTTTAATTGTATGATATTTGATAATCGATTCAGAAGATATTTCTTCAAAATACTGCTGGTATGAAGTTATTTAGTAGTTTTATTTGCAAATGAATCACAAAAAATTTACAGGGATAATCCAAAACTTGGTAACGCCAATGATGTTGATGCAGAATTGGGTGTGTATAAGAAAAAAATTGAGAAACTTAATCAACAACTCAATAAGTATAAGGTATTTGATTTATGTGCTGTGGATCTTAGTGGCTTATCATCTTGCTGACATACTAGAAATGTGTACATCATTTATGTGAACAAGGGAAAATAAGGGCCCTAGAAAAGGGACTTGTGGAACGCCAAAAATGGTGCTTATGTTTTGGGAAATGGAATTATCGTAGACGACATATTGTTGTAGACTAATAAGATATGATTCACGCCATACGTTAAGTTTGCCTTTTAGTGGCCTAATTTCAACTCCATATGGGGGCAGTTTATGTAAGAATTTTTGATGAAAGATTTTATCGTTGGCCTTAACGAAATCGATATAAATGTTGTTGTGGCATTTATCTGAATAGGTGAGATAAGAGTTGAGTGATAAGTGAAATAAGTTTGGTAAAGCGTTTGAAGATGAAACCAAACTGTTGTTTCGGGACTAGGCTGAGGTGACGAAAATGAGGTACTGCTCTTCCCTATATTCAGTTATTTACAGTTGAAAGTGTGATACATTCGATCCTTTAGCTATTCAATACAATTGTTTTTCTTCTATTTTTTCGTGTGTCGATTAATTTTTTCTGCTGTCAGTTGATGAATCAGAGTCGTATTGCAAGCGTTCAATGACGATGAGTGAATGTTCAATGTTTATTCGCCGAGAAATGATTCACAACCAGATGTCATGAGTTGTTTTAGATAACTGTAGCAAACATTGAATTAAAAAGTAATTCATCTCAAATTATAGGCAATGCTGTTGGAAGCACAAGCTGAATTGAACGTTCCAATCAATATCGGGTTTGTCCCATTTTATTTCCGTGAATTTCTTGTGAACTTGGGAAATGAATTCAGTTGTTCCGAACGGTTAATGCTATTTTTGTGATTAGTGGGTTTATTGGTGATTAACATTCAGAAAATAAGTAATCGAAATAAATCGTAGATGTGAACCACCCGTTCGCCCTCCACCACCCTCTCAATCGCGTATCAGCACTCCTTCGGAAGCATCGCCTCGTCAATCCGATTCCATAACACCAAACAATAATCGTAAATCTTATTCCGAGGAATCAATCTCTTCTGATGGCTCTTCTGCATTATCTCCACATCACATCCACAAAACACCTCAGACGGCATCAAATACCAAACGTATATTCATTTATCTCATTTGCTAGTTTAGTGATATTAGTTGAAAGTTAATAGTGAGAATGAAATGCTTAATTAAGTTTGATTCAATTTAAGTAGAATCTCCAGTGGCAACAACAACATCAAATATAGCGTGCGCAACAATGCCGCCAGTGGCAAGGACAATGCCGAATGCAAGTGCAGGAATGGTGCCGTTAGCTGAAAAGAACGAAGTGTATGAAGAGTGTGATATGCCAGCACTGGGCACGTGTACAGCCTTATATAAGTTTGAGGGGGGTAGTGAGGGGACGATGGCTATGAATGAAGGTGATGAGATGGTTTTGATTGAGAGGGATGAGGGTGATGGATGGACGCGGGTCAGGAACATTTCATCCAATATCGAAGGTTTCGTGCCAACTTCTTATTTGCACTGCAAATGGTATCCAGATCAATAGTTGTTCAGCAGCATTCATCCTTTTCATGACAACCGCAAGCAACGAATAGTCCATCGTTATTGATTTTTGATTATATTATAATCGTTCACTTACTTTCGTCTTGTTTTCATTGAGATTAATGATTTATTTGTAAACTCAGCAATTGATACTGCGTTATGTTAACATCGTCGAGCGATTTAATCGAGCGGCGAAAAGCCGTGGTCAGTGCAAGAGAGACAACCAAACGGTTGTTCACGTATTAATCAATAAAACTGATCCGATTTGATCTGAATGCGAACGAAGCAGAATAGAATAACACTGTTCGTGAGACTGATTTGAGTGGTGATCATTGAACTAGTTATGAAATGGTATTTTGGAAATGCGCTAAACAATCTAGCTCAGTTTAATTCAGCGCAATTTTGTTGATTTTCAGTGTCATCGCGTTCTATTTTCATACAATGTTTCATTTTATTACATCCTCAGTTGTTGTTTTCATTTCTTTTCATTTCGCTCAAACTTTGACTTGTTCTTGAATCAAACTTTTTTATGACAATTATCACATCTGAATAATTATCATTGTTATCAGCTGTCAACTTATCACCTTCCTTCTTCACTGTTTGCTGCACTACTGAAAATATGCGCGAATCACTGATCCATTTAATTGAAATCAGTCACTCTTCATGTGTGGTGTTATATCGCTCAAATAAACACGGAACGAAATCGACTGATCGCATTCAGTTCCGTTGTTTCAGTGTAAACAAACAAATGAAAATAATAAGTCTCCTTTATGGACTATATTTTAGTCCATTCGTTTTTACGATTCTGTTATAGCCCATCTTTCTATTTTCTATTGAATATCTTCGTTGCATTCAGTTAAATATTTTTTGTTTCTTGATTCTGTTTCTATGAAATTACTCGCAATCGTTTATTGTTCATTTTCCATGTTATCAAGCGTTATTCAGTTTCTTCTCAAAAATGTTTTTTCATTACCGGTATTCGCAGTTTTCAAAGTTTTGCTTTATTCTTATGCTCTGATATTATTTGTAGTGCTTCTCAATACTGTTTCTGAGTAATCGCTTATCGTAATCGTTGTCACATAATCATTTTGTTTCTCCCACAACAATTTTTTGATTGTAATTTTCGGGCACTTCAAAATGCATAAATTACAAACGAAACAACAGCTACCAAACCATAGGGCAGTGTTTCTCATGTTTGACAGATTCATTATTAACCTTTCGATGGTCTGGCAGGCCGTCATTACCCCTTCCCTGACCCCCCATCGGCCTCTACAAGAATTTACTATTTACGCGCATAACGTCAGCAGTTAGTCGAAAACCGCTCCGGGAGTTCCTCGTGGGCTTAAAAAATCTGACATTACAAATTACTCCTGAGGGTTAATTTGTAATGTCAGATTATTTTTACCAATTCTAAAAAAAGAATTAAATGAGAAACACTGGCATAGGGTGAAGATGCGCATGAGTGAAGTGGAGATGTTTTTTGGTTGAGGTTCAACTTTTGATAAGAGAAATTTCATAAATCAAAATTTTAAAAAAAACTTTATTTAAAAGAATTGTTTTCCTTAATGTTAGAATTGGTAAATGGTAGAATTCAGAAATATGGATGCTATTCATTGGGCCTCATCAATTATAGACTAAAATTCGATTAAAGAATTCCGTTTCATGGAAATAAACATCAATTGTAAGTTAAGATGAAACTCTGCATTTCCAAAACTGTATTCTCCTCCGTTCTAGTCGAGTGGAATTACGATCTAATGATTTATTATTAGAATCGCGTCTATGGATATAATTACGACATAGTTTTAATATGTTTATTGAAGTATATTGAGTGGGTGATAACGCTTTTCGTAAATTTTGATTACGTTATATCCTATTGATTGGTTTTTATATGATGCTTCAGTCTGATTGAACTCTGTTGCTGACGAATAAAAGTTAATAATTTTAGAATTCATGATCATTCATTATTGCAAAATAGAGTAGCACCATTAGATTATCGCAGGCCTTATCAATTTTAGATAATGGATGGATTGTTGAAGAGACATCTGATAACAACATTAGTAATACAGTTCGGTTTTTCATCATTTTCTTGAGTGTGTGTTGATGGTGTTATTTGAATGAAATCACAAAGGTTAACTTGGTTTGTTTGCGACGTGAGTTGCGCAATTTTAATGGTGTTGATTTCAGAAATGACAGCAGTGATAATGATAAAACATTGATAACGATAGCAGTAATCGTAAGTGAGACAATGTTAGGAGACAAAAATAAATCAGGCAAACATGATAAGTGAGATAATAGTAATTAGGTGATTGATTGGTGATAGAAGTAATAATAACCATAACAACAAAAGAGTACAAGGAGTTTTACCAGCCTTTCGGCACTTGGGCCATGCTCAGGGTATATTGGTTCCTCACGGGGAGGGATCCATCCGGAAGGGGCCCGGACAAAAAAATCCAGGAGCAAAATTGTCGAGGAATGGGGTACCAATCAGGGATCTCGTTCCCAGACGAACACTACATATAAGGATATGAATGAAAGAAAAGAATGTGTATGAATGAAAGAAAAAGAAAATCGTTCATATCACTACCGTCATCCAAACATCACCAATTTTTATAATGTTGCCATGATCTTAACCCATGCAAAAACAATTCATACCTCGTCACTTATTCTTCACTATTATTAAGTGTTGTACCAATAATACCCTGAGAATGATCACAGTGCTGAAAGGTTGATGAGATTCCTCTTTTGTTGTTAAGTTTTTTATTATTATTATTAAAATAACTATCATTTTCACTAATCACCATTATTACCACCTTCCTACTGCTAATATTATCATTGTTATCGCTACCATTGCTGAAAACAACATCTCCGAAAGTGCGAAAGTCACGTCGTAAGGAAATCAAAGTAACCTTCCTGATTTCTTTGAAACAATAGCGATAAAGTAACTATCATAACAATATAAATATCACAGTGACAAATTTAATTTAGACTGATGCAGACTATTTTTTTGTTAGTATAAAAATCAATTGAATCGTAAACTCCTTCTCGTTCATTTCCGGAAACTCGATTGCCTCCGAAAGCTATATTCGAGTCGCACACCTACAACACAACACGATCAAAATGAATGTTCTTAAGGTTTAACCAGCGTTCGACTGGCGAAAATTTAGTCTCATGTAGTCGATCACTCAGCCAGCTGATAATAAATGAGTGATAAACAACTGATAATGAAAGAATGGTACTCATCTTGTTGATAGTAACATTTCAAGAACGGCAACGGATTATCGATTATCTCTAAATCGAACAAAAAATGTTTCCGTAAGATTTTGATAATGAAAGTGTATCGAGTGTGTCTATCGAGCATCATTCATCTCCTCTACAAATGATCAATTGTTGCTATATGATCAATACAACTGAAAACTTACCAACCAGCAGTTACACCATACAATGCCAAAATGAAGTTCAGAAGCAACTGAATTTATTTCGTTTATATTTTCAGACCATAATGACGCTGATAGGCCGTAGCGAATGCCGTTCACACGCCTTATTACTTCCTTAAGTATTTTCGTTTATTCGTGACGAATTGCAAGTATTGTCATTCTTAGAGTCATTGAAATAACATTTTTCTTGTTATAATTTCATTTTCCTTGTAACTGATACCATAAATTGGTGAATTATTCGATTCAAAAAATTGAATTGCTGGAATGAGGCTATCGATAAAAAATGACCGAACAGTAAATGAAGATGAAGATATGACGAAACCTGATTATCAACGAACGGTGAAACACACACAACAGGTGCAAATATTTCATCTTGCATCAGAAGATTGTGATCATCAACCTCGATTATAATCGTCGGCTTTATGAAGTAACCCTTCAAGCTATCCATTTTATAAATCATTCTATGCTCCTATCGGTGGCGTAGCAAGGATTTTCCCAGGTAGGGGGAGGGGCGCAAAATGATAGGTTTTAGGTTCGGAGTTTTGACCAATCTCCTTCCGCAGGTGCGCCTGTGGTGGCTCATCATGCTCTTAGAAAGTGCTCGCACCTGCGAGGCCCCGCGTGGGCTCCCCACGAAAAACCCCACCCGAAAAAACGGTCCTAACAACAGGAGCTGAAATGCACTGAAGCTGAAGTATGCCTGACTGCTCTAGGAGAGCGAACTTCTTACTTTTCACTGCGGCAGGTTGTAGTTTAGGTTTAAAGTGATGCTCAGGGCTAGGTTTAAACTCAGTGCTTAGATTTGCTGTAGGTTCAGAAGAAGAGTAAGGCCTACAAATTTTGGAAAATAGCTGCGGATAATGGGATCTAGCGCTCTTCCTCTGCTACGCTTATAATTGTAATGTGGATTATGACTACAAGACATTCAAGTGTTTCTGCCCCATCCCTTCCTCTTTTTTCTTCTTTTCTCTCTCCCCTCCCCCCTCCCCCCTCCCCCACCACCGGCTACACCACTGGCTTCTTCATATCCACTTCATTTTATTTACCTTAAACAATATTTTATTCATTACAAACCTCTTGCTCTTGATCCTCTTGTGTTAACTGATCAGAACCGAGGAGTACTCTGGACTGTTTCGATGCCATTTCGATATACGAAAGTGCCTTTAAGATTTTTATTCGATTTATTTGTATTCATTGACAATTAATTCGCAAGTATTTGTTTTTGTTACTGTAACAATTTTATTATTCCACAAGTAGTACATTCGTCTTATTTACTGGACTAACATTTATGTGAAGGAAAATTTTGAGGTTGAGAATAGCAATAAAATGTGCGTATGTTGAATTACTATTTTTATGAGTAAAAATGATATGTTTCTGCTGGGAGATGAACCTTTTCGTAGTGATCCTTTGATATCAACGCTCCTAAATGAACATCACGCCGAGGATCACCAACTTTTAGTTTTGATGTTATTTTGACGAACTCTTCAATAAACCTTTCAAAGATTGTTTGTTGTACAAATATACGACTTGTACAATGGCACATTTCACCTTGATTCAAGAAGCATGATCTGAAAGTACATTAATTATCATTTGAGACAATTTTATAGTGACAACTGCATCAAATTTTATAGAAGTGTGATGAAAACAAACGGTCAATAAATATTTTGTATTATATTTGATCGGTTCCGTATTCGATGCATAATGAGATGTCTGCGCGACATTTCTATTTGATCGACTATGATCAAGAGAAGTTCGAAAACTTTCGAATTTCTTTTATAGCTGACATTTTTAGAATGGAAAGCAAACGAGAAAACTTCAGAGCACAAGACGAAGTTCATTTGTTTTATCTCTGATCATCAATGGTTATTGAAGCGACAAATTAGTGAATACCCAGATCCTTACTGATATGGGATCATTTAGGTGTAGGTGATATCCATGAAACGGTGAATTTTCGAACCTCCCCTTGTCATATGTCTGCAGCTCTCAAGAACAGATTCAACCCTCACCATTCCTTCCAAAAAATCGGTTTGGGATTGCGAAAAAAGTCATAACATATCGTGTAGGTTGCTTGAGAATGAAGAGTTAACTTTTTAATGCACTGAACTTCATGCTTTTTGGCTTTTTTTTTTGGATTCTGCCAGCTATTCGCAGTTATTCACATTTTCCAAGAACACCTCCCCTCCCCTCTTTTCGTCAGTGTTCGTCCACTTTTGTGCCTGATTCCCACTCTCCTCCTATGGACGTTATTTATGCATCACACCTAACAGCAAACCTGGTTTAGGTGAACACTTTCATCTCTACTGCTTGTCTATTTTGGAAAAATCTTCGCAGAAACAAGAGAAAGAAACATAAAATAATGAAATGCAACAATTTTTTCAGTCATTGAGATTTCTGTTGAGTAGGTGAAAAGCAGAAAGTTTTTGACCATTCAAAGCAAGCATGTTACGGCCAATTTGATCGAGGAATTGAGGAATTTTTTCACTCAGTATATGTCATAGAGTTCGTTTATGCGAATGAAACAAGCGAAAGTAATTGTGAAAGTGATGTATACCTAATGATATGGGGTACAGCCTTTTGAATATCGCACGATTCGAATACAATCGCTGCATTTTTAGCACTCATTTCGAGACTTATTTTCTTATTCGTTTCAGCACAAATTTGAGCTATTTTTCGGCCCGCAGAGGTGTTCCCCGTGAATGAAATAACCGATACACCAGAATGACGAGCCAACGCAACGCCTACTTCATTATCGCATCCCATCACCAAATTAACAACTCCACTCGGAAAGCCTTAAATATTTGGCTAATGGGTTCATATAAGTGGAATATTCGAATGACCAGCAATAAATGGATTTTGAAAGATTAATAAAATAATGAAGATAACGAATTTGAACAATACATACCAGCGTCTATGAAACAATTGAATAATAACCATGCACTAACGCTGGTCAGTTCACTTGGCTTAACAACCACTGTATTACCAACTGCGAGGGCTGGTACTAATTTTGTTGTCAGCTAAAAACACCCCGTAAAATAACTACGAAATTACCGTTAATATTATCATACCATTATTATTATCAATAACATTATTATAACGTAATTGCTCTTATTCTTTCGATCGTAATAATGTGGATAATTTGTAACTTCTATTTTACTTGTCACTGCTATCAGTTTTTCTCGGGATTTTATTATCGCGTTTTGATTTTGAATAAATTGATTTGTTAGTTCTCAATGAAGACTGTATTCAGTATGGTCAAAGTAGACGACATTGAATAGTGAAGAGTTATGATGTAACTGAAATGTAATTACCAAGTAAAGAGGCAAATTCCATGGAACTATCAACGCAACAACACCGATGGCACTACGTACCACATAGTCCAATGCTGTTACTGGATCGTTTTGAATATGTGAACTGAATGTTAACTATTAGTGCTGCGGATGTTTCGGTATTTTCGTTGCATTTGGAAATTTTGGTTAAAATACGTTCAGGTTAAACTGGAACAAACTGTTTGAATAAATTTCAATCGATAGCGTTCTAATGAATGTTGTGAGCCTAAAGTGCACTCTTAAAGCTCACTTATAGAGGTTTGGTGACAGCATTTAAAGGCAACGGATGGAATGAATTGATCCATGTTGAGATACAATACGAGTCGTTGCAAATAAGTGAAATTTTTGTATTTGATGTATAATTTAGTCAGTTCACATTCATATGAAAATGTCGTCAAATGTTTTCAGTTAACTTAACCGAAAACGAAAGACTACGAAAAGTCGACACTCATTTCACAAATCACTTTTCAAACAGAAATACTGCAAACGAGTGCAACTATACTTTTGATGCATTCTATACTAAAATCATTCACAGATTCATTGTGAGAATACAAGCCGATTAAGTAAATGCTCACTTATAGCTATCCTTATTCATTTTGACTTCATCGCTTTATGGATGAGTGAAACAATGATTCAAGTAAAGAATATTCGAATGCAGTGAAACAAAGGGTAATAACCTCGTCGAATGATTAAGAATTGCAGATGCGAAGAAACGAAAATTATGAATTGATCGTGCTATATCAAATTCTCTGAAAGTATCACATTATGTTTTCATCACTATTACAATGAAAATGTTCACTGAGCAAATATTTGACTGAATTGGTTAAACTCGTCGCATTTGTTCGCTCAAAGCCGACCAAAACGTTATACAGTGTCATTGCCATCAAGCGAGATCAATCAAAAATAGATGAATAAAAATGAATCAAACAATAGAGGCATGAATAAAGAACTAGCTACGAGCCAAATCATAACATGGCTTAGCTTCGATAAAACCGATGAAACTGGTGCACCATTCGGTTTCAAGTAAAACTTCCCTTCCCGTCTACCCAAAATTGAGACTTGAACCCACGACATAGCAATTTCCTGTCAAAGGAAAATCTCGCATGAAACCGAATGATGGTCATTAATAGAGCCATGTTTAAATCAACGAACTTCGCTATTGAAATAGGTTGCCCATGATCTTTCGAATCAATCTCAGCAAATCCGTCAATGTTATCCTCTATTATATCTGCTACTTTCATCAATAATCTTGAACGTTCTTCCACTGATTTCTTACTCCAGCTTAATGAATCACTCATCATTTCTTCTTTGAATTCAGATGAATATTTATTAATTTATTCAATCGGATGAGATGTGAATTCAAAATTCGGTAAACAACAGAAATTCGAATGATATTTAAAATTTGCAAGTTTAACGTATTCCGTTTATTATTTAATTGGCATTAAAATAAGAAATAAACGCGGTGATGCTTAAAGAATTAGCGCTTTCTGCCATATACCTATAAAAGGCGTTTTGGGCACTCTCAACGGCCATGTCGACATCCACCTGACCCGATCTCGGCACACAGATCCAACTGACTTTTTTGGAAGGATTTTCAGATTCGATAACATCTTCACATCTTGTCCATTCACCATTCATATAGTTCTTTATCGTATGTGATGTATCGTTTAATGTTCTTAATAATTCGATCGCACATCTTGTATTATCCATTTTCAGTTCGTCTTCCTATTCCACTTAAATATAATCCTAAATGTCTAAAATTGACCGCACTCAAATATTAACTCGACATTCACATGACTCCAACTTGACATTCACCTGATACTTCCTCGAAGCGAATGAGGTTAACGAAGCCATAAGATGAAAGCAAAAACTCTCACTGCGAATTCATACGAAAAAATTAGTGATAGCATAATATGAAGTACGAAATCACGCAAAAAGAGACGATAGGCTGAATGAAATGATAATTCGTGTAATAATCAATATTCCCTACTCTCACTTCATTTACGTACAAAATTTAAAACGGAACGTCAACATAAACTGCACCATATTATTCTCGTTTTTGTATTGTCATGAATATTATCGTGTGTTATGCATTCATATGTTAATCATTTCCATTTCGTGTTATCAATTCCGAATTCCCAAACAGAAATTCAGTCGAACACTGGACAACATTACTTTTATTTCAACCGTCTAAAACAAATCATATCAACTGCAGTAATAATAATAATAATAATAACAATAATGCTTATAGTTAAACGAATACAACTGAGGATGAACACATAAATAATGAAATCAACAACAGCAGCAATAACGATGACATAAACATTAGAAGTACACAAGTGAAAGTTGGTTGATTCCACTGAAACGAATCACTGAAAAGCATTCAAACGATTCGAAAAATACCTGAACAAGTTCATAAATGAGAATGGTGAGGATAACAGTAACAATGATAACAACGTGAATAAAATTATACTAACTGATGAACGACATTACACGAATTCAATCAATTGAACTAACTGATACGATGGTAAAGGTATATATTCAATGACACAATAATTATTCACATTAGGAATTTTAAAACGGTAATATTTTTTATTTTGCTAAATTTTTAGGACTGATATTTCAAAGCTTTTTAATCATAAGTTACAATGAGAATAATTTCGTACAAAAATCTCAAATGAAATCTTACAAGTTCGATTCGAATCAGTGATAAAACTAGAATTTCGAACCGTTTTTTTAAAAGATGAATGAATTAAAAACCGAGTAGCGCTGAAAACAAACAAGAAGAGATCAAAAACAAAGGAAATAGCATAGCTGAATCCCAATATATATGATAAAAAGTGGATTAACGTATATCATAAATATACCATTCATAAAAGCGAACGATACTAAAATGAACCATACAGAGTGAGGAAATAATGAAAAAATGATGGAGAACATCAATTTGTTTTTATTATAATAGATCAAAGCAACAGGGTGATTCCTAAATTTTCATTTTAATTTCTGACCGAATTTAAACTGAATTAAGAATGAGGCATAAATTGACAAATTGAACAGGTCAAGAATCGTTGTGGAAATGCAAAATGAAGCGCCGAAATTCCAATCAAATATACAATAAGGATACGACTTTGAGTGTGTCAAGAAAACTGCTCGTAAACTCATCCGTATCATGATTTTCGACGGGATGGTACTTGAAAGCAAAATATCACTGTATTTCAATAAGAACCATTTGTTCACATCAGTTCAGTGAATGGAATGCGTCACTACCATAGGATCTCTTTAATACAATAGTTTCCCAGTGTTTCGAGAGTCTCACATTCAATTATACAACACCACAAAAACATTATATTCATTCAATGGACTCTTTGTCATCGAATTAATCATTTGAAAAAAAACAAAGGCAAATTTGTGTTAAACAAAATTCAACTCAAAAGTCGGATTTCCAAAGTCGAATCGTTCTGTCGTTTTCAAGTGCTGCCGATGCGATAATATTTTGTGTTGGATGACAATCGGTGCACAGAACAACATCTGAGATTGAAATTTGTTCTTTTATGCCATAATATTGAAAATTAAATAAGGAAAAAGCGTTACACTCAATCAGATGAATACATCAAAATTTGACCACACAACTATTTGTTATGTAATTAAAATAAATTATAGAAAGGAAGAATATTTTTAAAAAATCAGTTACGGATCGAATTAATAAACGAATTACCCGTATGACCCTCCAACGTTTGAACAACTTCTTTTGTTTGTAAATTCCAAATGAAAACTTGATTGTCTTCCGAGCCACTGACGATCCACTAAAGATCAAAAACATTCAGTTGCAGGTATTAAAAATTCAGTTCCTTTATAAATTTATTTCATACTAGAGATGATAGTCAAAATCTATTTTGACGAACTTTAGAATTATTTAGTTGGATCACGACCTAATATATTTGAACTTCGAATTCAAATAACAGTTGAATTTCGCAACTTGAATGAAACAAACTTGTCCTTCGTAACTGAAGTGATCAATAAATGAACTTACCTTCCCGCCGGTGACTGAGAAATTCGCGAAGATACAGTACTTCTCATTTTTGTGGCCAGTGTAAGTCTTCAAACATTTTCCTTTATTGAAATCCCACAATTTCAATGTGCTGAAAAGAAAACAAATAAGAAATGCAAAGCAATTCAATGTGTATTTCATCAAGAAATTATACTGCTGATGAATGCTCGGAATGACTATTCTAATCAGTCAACACAACGAACCTATCGAGAGTTGCGGCCAGGATATATTTACCATTCGGTGAGAATTTAACGAAGGATACTGGTGGATTGTCGTCGTCTACAATAATATATGTGTTATGATACCATTAACAGATTCATTGCAACAAAAAATTGATAAACGAAAAACAATCTGATAAAAACGAACGATATCAAATAATCACCCACCCGATGAATACAAAAAATGAAAAACAACTAACCCACAAGAGTTTTCACACATTGACCATTCGCAGTATCCCATATTCGAACTAAACCATCATAACTACTTGAGCAAATCAGTGTGCCATCTCTCCAAACCATCATTATTAGTATTATTGAAAGTGGTGTTACAAACACTATTAACATTATACTAGCTTATTATTTTATACCAAATGAATTACAACATTGTATTTGTCATTACAAATCAGTGCATTTGTTCAGCAACATTAGAAACTGAAAATGGCAACGATGATTCCTACAACAGTGATAGTGAGCGAACCAAATAATAATAATAGTAATAATAAAATACTTGAAAAATTATTAGTAGTAAGATAACGTTGGTGTTATAACGCAAATGAACAACACCCAATTAAAGCACCTATTAAAAGAAACAGCAGAAACAGGATCAGAATGTGCAGGAAGTGTTTTAATACAAGCACCAGATTTGACGTCCCAAATGCGAACACTTTCATCGAACGATCCAGATACGATGAGTGATGACTGTGGATTGAAATTACAACAAAACACATAATTTGTATGTCCTTTCAGTGTTTTCAAGCATTTATTCTGAAATTGAAGTGTTACATTACACTACTTATTCTACTCGAGCAATGACTTAAAGTAGGATGGTTCCTTGTAAATAATCAGTTTAATGAACGCGAAACGATTCATAATATCAAGTAATCACCCCACAATGCATAACGAATAAAAACGTACGCTAGTAACATCCCAAATTTTGAGTGTTTTGTCATCAGAGCATGACGTGATAAGCCGATGATCCGATGACCAGCATATATCTGATATACCCAGTTTATGACCTGATATTGTTTTTTCAATCTTGCCATCATCACTATTCCATATTTTAATTGTTTTGTCTGCACTCGCGCTAGCCAGTAACGTACCATCCGCACTGAACTTCACTGACGATATCGCTTTCGTATGACCACTCAGTGTGAATTTCACTTCATAATTCGGAGCCTTTAAATTTATACAAACTGACATTTTATTTTACTACACCCAAATACATGGTTTCTAATGTCGAGGAATACTTTTGAAACGGCCGTTTAGAAAGATCGGATTGAACATTGGGATCGGTGAATAGATCAATCAACATCAAAAGTATGGATTGCAAAAATAATATTATTAAGCATTAGGAAGCAAGATACCGACGACGACGGTACCACACCGCTAACTGAACCAGTCGGTTGGGTATGCGTCGAGGTAGAAGATAACTTCTGAGGAGTCGAGGTATTTTCTGATTGTTGCGTTGATGGAACTGCTGTTGGTTGTTGAGACTGCTGAGCTGAATTGCTTCCAATTGCGCTTTCCGGTTTCTGTATCATCAGTATTAATAAAAAAACGAATTACACTGCCATTATTAGATTGCTTTACTTGATTACAAGATTGAGATGGCTTACTCGTGTTTCACTCGCTGCGTTTTGTACCGCAGAGGTTGTTTCATTTGTGTTTTCATTGTTATTAACACTGTTGTTGTTATTATTATTATTACTGTCATCACTGGCTTTATTATTGGTGTTATCATTGTCCGTATTAGCAGCTGTTGTAGCTGGTACATCACCACTGGCACCTGTTACAGACATCGCGTTATTCATGTTCCTGTAATTACTGGTTTAATTCACTCATTAGATGCCAAATTAAATTGATGCACAAACGTCACTTCTTATGATGAGCTCAATAAAAAACACCCAACAAGACCGATTTGCAAACTTCGGTAGAGGGTAAGCAGCACAACAAAACAACAACGGCAATTCCATACTCCGTAATGTTTCAATCAGTTTTTCAGAATCAAAGTAATGCATAAACGGACTGAACTCCTATTTTATTCATTCATTTATTATGACTTGCAGCAGTTCAGATGGAATATTTATGCATACATGGACTCATAAATATCGCGAATAAAATAAAAGATGTGATGACAACTGTGAAGAATTACTTTTCGAAAACAGCAAACACAGGCATTAATTTTTTTAATTCGGCGCTCCTAAACAGCAGAAATAAGCACTCAGCACTCAGCTATCCAGTATTACGACTACCAACTATTTAGACATATCAGATTATCAAATCTCAATTTTTGATCATATCGCAGTAATTACCAGCTCACTGCTATAAAATTAAACTACAGCACAAATACTTGGTTTAAAGTTGGAGCGAAAACGCAAGTGTACAACGCCAAATTGCGTATCAATTGTTCGAAAAATCAATAATCCGAAAAGAACCGTTCGTTCACAGTGCGCACTGTTGTGGCGGTGTTACTATGGACGGGTATACAAACAATCGAATAGAGAGACAATTCGCCAAGTGACATCAATTCGCTAATGCGGCTTTATGTAAATAGCATAAAAAGACGAAAAACTAAAAACTGTCCAAACAAACTTACTAACAAACGAAAATCAAGAAAAATAATGAGATTAGATAATAAGAAATGAACGCAAACTCACCAGACTTTTAATTACAAAGCGTTATGATTCCTATAATGAAAACATGCACAATAACAGTAACCGTAGAACATCTACAATATGATGAAATGTTTCAAGTTTGCTGTGAAATCTAGAACTGAATTATCCCCCTGCGATAGCGAATAGCA